GCATTGGGGATTTTTATTTTGGACATTACTTTTACAAAAATCAATTAACTTCATTTAGGTTGTTCTAGCCACATTGATGGCTTTGTTCTTTGAATTTCATGAACTGAGGATACTACTGTGCTAAGGCACTAGTATCTCACCATCATGGCTTACTCCTGAACAGTGGCTTCACAGCAAGGAGAGAGAACAATAAGCAAATTGTTGAGTTCATGGCACTAAGCCATTGCCAGGATCTCTCTCTGCTAGTTTGAAACTCACACACTACACAAAAGTGACTTGTGATGATCACTGTAATTCAAAGGGGATTTGTTACCCCATTGTGTATTTGCCAGGATTGGAAGAGAAAAATGTAGGAAGAAATTTTATCATAATTATACCTCAATTTTTTAAACATCCTTTACAAAATTATTGCTTTTATATAATTTATGACACTGTTAAAGCAAAAGATTAATATTTGTTGAAAGAAAAGAAAGACAATTACAACAGTTCTAATTTTGAGAAATAGATTTCCTTATTCACTTATTAGGATTCTCTCCCCAGGGAATATTGGAAATAGGTATATTTCACTTTGGTGAAGGAAATAGGAGTTTGCTCCTTAAATATTGATTAAATTATGCTCTTGGTATTTGGGTATCTTATTAAACATAAAGTTCAAGAAAGTGCTAGTTTGATAAGAAAGATAATTCATTTAAGAAAAGGGTTTGAGAATTTTAAAGATTTAAATATTATAAATCTTGTAATATTTCTTGCCCTTAATTTTAGCAACTTGTAGGAGACATAATAAATATTTCAGATTTTACAAAGATTTGCTCTTTCTTTAAATATTTCTTTAAAATAAAATTTCCCAGAAGAATTTTCTTCTCCTAACTCCAGTCTTGAGAAATGTTTCCTAAACAATGAGTTCTTCTTCAAATGAGTTTGGGTGACACTCCACAGTATTTTCTTTTTTAGGCATTTACAGGCTTGGAGAAGTCCTGTGGCTAAGATGCTATGAAACTTTAACTTCATATTTTCCAGATATGCTTGATAATATAATTTTTTTTTATTTTTTGAAAAGTACTTTTCCATGAAACATACTTTGAAAAACACTCTTTTGTATTATAAAAAGTTGTACATATACATTGTTATATATAAAATATGGAAAATACACACATAAAAGAGAAAAAATAGTATTTAGAGAGAACCTCTCCTAAATGTTGATGTGTTTCTATCCATTTTTTTTCCATTTACCAATCATGTATATATGTCATTTTATACATTTTTTTACTTGATATCATAAAGCAAGCATTTTATCATGCAAGACAGAATTCTTTTCAAGAATTAATTTAATTATTGTATAATGTTTCATCATATTATTATATTAAAATTAACCATTTCCTCATTATATATTTAATAGGTTGTTTCTAATTTTGCACTATTATAAATTATACTATGGTGAATGAATATCTTTATACATTGTCTTTTTCATATTTCAGATTATTTCCTTCTAATAGAATCTCAGAAGTTACTGTGTCAAAGGACATGAGCTTTCTTCTGGGCTCTTAACAAATAAATACCATTTTCCAAAAGAGCTGTATTAATGTATAGTTCTTCCCCAATACTGGAAGAAGAATACATTTAGAAGTATTCTCACAAGTATTATGTATTAACATTAAGAAAATCTTTATACAGTTGTAAGGAAAAGGTGGTATATCTTTATATTTTGTTTCTTGAGAGTTAGTAACAATTGCTTTTTAAAACTAGTGTTTTTGTTATTCATCTATTTTATAGATTTCTTTTGTTATATATTCTAAATTTTCTGAACCACAGTAGTTGTAGTGTCCTAAGAATATGTAATTAAATATAAGATTTTTGTAGTTTACTGATCTTTTAAAGTATAACTAGTATATGTTATCATTTTTTTGAGATGGAGTTTTGCTCTTGTCATCCAGGCTGAAGTTCAGAGGCACAATCTCGGCTCACTTGCAACTTCCACCTCCCAGGTTCAAGTGATTTCTCCTGCCTTAGCCTCCCAAGTAGCTGGGATTACAAGCACCTGCCACTACCCCAGTATAATTTTTGTAATTATAGTAGAGACAGGGTTTCACCATGTTGGCCAGGCTTATCTCAAACTTCTGACTTCAGGTTATCCACCTGCCTCAGGTTCCCAAAGTGCTGGGATTACAGGTGTGATCCACCACACCCAGCCTAGGGTTTTTGTTTGTTTGTTTGTTTGTTTTTTTAGACTAATTCTTGCTCTGTCGCCTGGGCTGGAGTGCAGTGGCACAACCTCAGCTCGCTGCAAACTCCACCTCCCAGGTTCAAACAATTCTCAGTCTGCCTCAGCCTCCTGAGTAGCTGGGATCACAGGTATGTACCACCAGGCCCAGCTAATATTTGTATTTTTAGTAGACACAGGGTTTCACCTTGTTAGCCAGGCTGGTCTGGAACTTCTGACATCATGATCTGCCTGCCTCAGCCTCCTAAAGTGCTGGGATTACAGGCGTGAGTCACTGTGCCTGGCCCCTAAATTTTATGCACATAATACTGTGTGTTAAAAATGTTTTTCCCAGTCTTTTTAATTTAATATGGATAATTTGATTTCTTCTGTTTACTTCAATAAGCAAATAGCACACTAAAATGAAGAGCATTTAAGCAGTTGGGTTCAAAATGTGTGTGGCCAAAATTGTGAGCTTCTATAAATATTCAAAGAGAAGTCAGACAACCCTCTGATTAGCGTGTAATAAAGTAAATCTAAGGAATCTTCTTTTTTAAGTTTCAAATGATTTTGACTCATTTAGTGGTTAATTAAACCAGAAGAACTAATTTTTATTGCATCTAATGTCAATTATTTTATCTGACATTTAATTATAAGCCAGTCCATTTTTTTCTCTGCAAAAACATGTTTGGGATTTTAATGTGTAATGAACTCAACCCTGGGAGTGTGAGGGTATATGGCCCCTCTTTTCCATGTTTGCTTGTCTTAGTTCATGTCATTGTACTTCTGAGACTTTATCAGAAGAGAATCAGGACAAACATTCAAATTTTAGATTTGATTTATATGTGTTAATTGAAAATTTCGAGTATTATTTTATACAGCTTTCAGTTAATAAAGTCTATTAGGACTCATTTTATGTTTTCTCAACAAAATAAAATATTAGACTCTAAAATTAATAAAAACTGTTCTCATTCTTTTGTTGTTGCTGACACTCTGAATAAGGGCTGTCAGCTGTTAAAAAACTAATGGGTTTGTTTTTATAGACATGGAATATATGCATTTTATCTAAATTTGGTAGCCTAATGACTGTTAAATATAATGTTCTGTTTTTACAAATTGCTTTTATGTTACAAGAAGCACCCCTTGCACCTGAGGGTCTAGATGAGAAAGAATACCATCCTTTCTATTGGCAAACTTTCTGTAATGTCTTGATGGTTTTAATGAGTAGATGCTTTTCGATTATATCTTATTAAGAAATTTCACTGAAAGGAGGATTCCACTGTTCTTTACTTGAACTTGTTTTCTTTGTTCATTATAATAACCTACAAGCTAAAAGAGAAATTATCTATTAAATTATACACATGGAAGGTCATGCTACTGCACAGAGAGTAATCCGTATTGCAGCAACTGAATATTAACATCCATTGTGACCTCTTATTAGGGTAGCCAATTCTCGGTGCCTGTCATAGCTAACCAAATTAACTGTTCTTGGAAAATTCAGTTGCTGCTAAAATTGTTGATCCGAGTTCATTATTAGATTACACTCAGAGAGACCGAATATCCCATGCTACTGTCTTCTGTTTGTAATGTTTTCTTTAAAGTAAAATGATCTCATGGTTTATAGCTTAAAATTATCACTTAGTATTTACCTGCTATGCTTAATATTTCTTGAATTCTGTGCTTGCTCTGTTACTCTCCAGCTGGTGTCATATGAGAGAAATCAAATTGCTTCTGGCATATTAAACATAACATATACCTTAACACTAAATAAATAGGCTTTAAAACATTAGAGGCTTTCCCAATCATTTAGTTCATCTCCTTAAAAACAACCAGTATATTGTTATATTTAACAATTATGGGCCTCAGCTCCATCTTAAGTGATTTACCTACACTTCTTTTGAAGTTTCTTCTGTGAAAATTAGGATGACAATAGTTTTTACTTGGATTATTGTTAAGATTATATGAGATAATTGCTCCAAACCAATTATTGTTACTGTTGAGCCCAATTATTGTTACTAAGCAAAGGCAAAATAATAACATAGTACAAGAAGCATATATTTAAAATAAAAATTAATTTGAATTTGGAAATAATTAAGTTATATACATGGATTTTTGTCTTTTTTTTTTTTTCACTCTCTCTTTTCCACACTCATTACTGATGACCTGTTACGTGCCAGACACTGTGCTGAGATATAGACACAAATGGGACGTGGTTATTGCCTTTACTGAAATTATAGCCTAGTAGAAGAACTTACAGTTTATTTTTAGCAAAGCACGTGTATTAACTTGCATAAACACTTAAGAATAGGAATACAAAATAAATATCCATTTATTCACTCAATTCAACCAGAATATATTCAGCATCTTCACAGAGACCCAATATCCTATGGATGTTGTTCATGGATGTTAGGAGACAAAACAGATACTATTGGAGACTGGAGTCAGATTAGATGGTTGAGGAACCACTCAGAGATCAGAAGGTCATGTTTGTTAGACTTCACCCTTTTAGGTGGACAGTAGCCTTAACTGTTAAACATGGGTGCACTCACAAACAGGATTGATGTTTATCATTCCTCAGATGAATTTGTAGAGAACCAGATACTGCTATTGAATACTTAGTGTGTAAGAATGTTAAACCTTGCACATTTGATTTACATTAATATATTGGAAGATTGTCAAAAGTAAAACTATGGAAACTATAAATTTTAATGATTCAGTATATTAAGGTTTATAATAGTAAAAATTCCATTAAGAAGCCTGCAGGTTTATAAAAATTCATTTTTTTCTTTCTTTTCTTCCTTAGAGCATCTGCTACACCCAAGCCTGAGCCGGTTCCTGTTCAAAAGGTGTGTTTCTAAGCTAACAACCAGGGTATCATTTGATTGTCCCCGCTGAGCTACTGTAATCTCCATTTCTGTCTCAGACCATACTGACATTCATTTAATTCATAGTCTCAGTACAATTTTCCTTGTGGTTCTTTTCCTTAAGAGATGAGGAGGAAAATGGAGATCAGCACATACCATTTGTAATTATACATGTTCTAAAACATTATTTCTAAAGCCATATGTTACAATAACTTATGTCAGATTCTTTACATTTCTATTCACTTTTCATGTGCCCATCTTTAACCATATTGATATATTTTCTTAAGAGAATAAATGGTTGCTGAAAATGAATATCACAATAAGTCTTTAATAACATTTTATTAATAAGTGCTTAATTATATTTCAGAATATTCTTAAGTTATTGGCAAGTATCCCTTTTCTCTCATATATGTCTTCAAAATATTTCAGACCATTATTCATATATAACTGGTTTATGCTTCAAAATATTTCAAACCATTATTCATATATATCTGATTTATGTTCTGTCTACTTTTATTTGTGCCCTTTTATTGAACTCATTATACAGGTTGAGCATCCCTAATTAGAAAATCCAAATGCTCCAAAATCCCAAACTTTTTGACCACTGCCATGCCCAAATGGCCATTGGAACATTTCAGATTTTGGATTCTTAGATTAGGGATGCTCCTGCATTCTACAAGATTCAAAAATCTGAGAATGTATGAAATCTGAACACTTCTGGTTTCAAGCTGTCTAAACAAGGGATACTCAACCTGTATCGATTGTGGGCATTAAGCTACTTATTTTTCTCAATTAGTTTTCTTCTTTCTATAAGATGAATTGAGGCCACACACAGTGGCTCATGCCTGGAATCCCAGCACTTTGGGAGGCCGAGGCAGATGGATCATCTGAGGTCAGGAGTTCGAGACCAGCCTGGCCAACATGGTGAAACTCTATCACTATTAAAATACAAAAATTAGCTGGGTATGGTAGCATGCATCTGTAGTTTCAGCTACTCAGGAGGCTGAGGTGTGAGAATCTCTTGAACCTGGGAGGTGGAGGTTGCAGTGAGCTGAGATTACACCACTGCATTCCAACCTTGGTGACAGAAGGAGACTGTCTCAAAAAAAAAAAAAAAGATGAATTGAGATTACCTTTTTTTTAAATTAAACATAATAGAACCACCATTGTATGATTTTTCAAAAATTTGATTGTTTTTCTTTTGCTTTGGTAGGTGGAGTAGGGATTTATTCTTGCTCTGCAGTCTAATGCTCTACTTCTGAGATATCCCCCCTCCTGGGATTTATTCCTGAATGTTGTAGAAGCTTAGTGATTTTGTTTAACTTTAAATATGCTTTGGAATAAGGATTTGCAAATACAAATTCTGTTAATTTTAGGAGGAATTGACCTTTCTTACTAGTTATTTTTTCTTTGGCTGCTGACAATGAGGAAATATTGAAGATCTTTTTTTCTTCATGTAACTATTAAATATTTATTTTGGAAAAGGGAAAGAATTTTATTCTATCTCTGAATCATATCTTAAAATATTCAGAGAAAAATGGAGATAGATTACAGGAAAGAAAGGATTTTGTTTGGTTCATTTGCTTGCTTTTTAAAGTTTTTTTTCAAATTATTTTAGATTATTAATTAGAGTTTGCACATTTCTGAGTTAGTTGAAAATTATCTTATTCCTGTTTTTGTTGTTCTTGTTTTAAATTAAAGAGTTAGAAATCATGTGGTGCTCCTTCTGCATGAAACAAATAATTCTACTCTGGAGAGAAATTTAAACATGTTTGAAAAATAGAACTATGGGCTTTGAAAGATGGAAGGATGGGCTTTAGATATTTTAAAATAAAAAAAAACCTCAATAAAGTTAATTTTTAAATACCCTACAATAAACAGAACATTGTTAATAAAAGTTAGCAATGTTTTGTTTATTGTAGGGTATTTAAAATTTTTTTCTTTAGAATATGCCTAAGTTGACACTGATAAAGGGCTTTAGGCTTTTTGATAGTTTTCTTGCTTTATTTACTAAATATTTTGAAACTGCTTTCCTTTTTATTTTAAAAATTTATACTTAGTGTATGCATCCATCTGTGTTATGCATGTTGGGACTAGTTAGCACGCATGTTATGCTTTATCAGTCCATCGTTTTTACCTGGAAATGTGATCTTTGAGCTGCTAACCTGATTGTGTTTGTCTTAAAAAATCAGCTTTGTGTTCTTTTCAGTGAATATATTTTGCATGTGTTTGGTGTGTTTTTGTGTATTTTTATTTTACATAGGGAGAACCTAAAGAAGTAGTTAAACCTGTGCCCATTACATCTCCTGCTGTGTCCAAAATCACTTCTACAACCAACATGGCCTACAATAAGGCACCACGGCCTTTTGGTTCTGTGTCTTCACCAAAAGTCACATCCATCCCATCACCATCGTCTGCCTTCACCCCAGCCCATGCGACCACTTCATCACATGCTTCCCCTCCACCCATGGCTGCTGCCATCACTCCTCCCCCGTTCGCTGCATCTGGACTGCATGCTAATGCCAATCTTAGTGCTGACCAGTCTCCATCTGCACTGAGTGCTGGTAAAACTGCAGTTAATGTCCCACGGCAGCCCACAGTCACCAGCGTGTGTTCCGAGACTTCTCAGGAGCTAGCAGAGGGACAGAGAAGAGGATCCCAGGGTGACAGTAAACAACAAAATGGGTAGGTGGCTAAGGGTGCTTTCTGCTCTTACCAAAACTCTTCTTTCAGGTTATTTCCAGGAAACAGTCTATATTCCCCTCCCCTCAAACCAGCTTATCTTTGAAGGAAGGGAGATGAAGTATTATTTGCTTCATTAACATATGGCCTTTATATACATAGGGCACTTTCGGCAAAGCAATTATCACTTACTCAGAATGTACTTGTGCATTTTGACATGTTCTGAACCATGTAATATCTCTGTAACTCACTTTCTGCAAGTCCTGACACAGCATTGAGCAGCTGGCACTTATAATGCAAGGCAAATCTTGAATCTTTCTTCCTCAATTTTTTCGTCCTTTTATATTGGCCACCAGAAGTTCAAACATCAATTACAGTCATTGTCACCTTATGCAACTCATCATAAGGAGAGGAGAAATGAAGAATTTGTGAGTAGTTTTTTTCTAGGAAGCAGTCTTAAGAAAACCAGTCCACTTTTGGCTCAGAGTCTATATATGAAGCATTAGCTTTGAGCAGAGAGCTAACAACATTTCTTTCAGATATGTTTAAGTTAGAATTTATTATTTTAAAATCAAACAGTAGTGAAACAACAAGGCATGCTTAAAAAGCATCAGCGGCAAATTATAAAATACTTTGATTGTAAAGATTTTTCTAAAATGGGTAAGTTTAAACCATTGGACACTAAATGTTTAATGTTAGCAAAACATTTAAAAAATCTGTTCCTTATCTTTCTTCCCTTTGGGGGTATTTTTTTAAAAAAAATGACTGAAGTTATTAACTTATTTAAACCACAAATAGTGATAAGTTTGCACATCTATTTTTCAGCAACCTTCAATTATTGATGGTCATTTATTCCTTTTGGAATTCAGGGATGATACTTTAAGACAGTCATTTATGTAAAATTATTTTGATTTATTGTGACAAAAATGTACCTTAAAAGAAAAACAAAGGGAAATAATCTGCACACCTGATGGTTTTTACCAATGTCAGTTCCCAGGAAAATATAATTAAAATAATTGTGTGGATAGGTCCGTTCTATGAGATAATCCCTTCCGAATGTTAATTCCTGTAATGAAGAGGCTGTGCTTTCTGTAGCACTGCTGCCATGGCAACTTTGGGGCTTTGAAAGAGAAGGTGGCAGAACTCCAGGCTGCTGCTGAAAGGGAGAGCAGGAGTTCTGGAAGAATAGCTCCTGGGCTGAGAGAGAGAGAGAGAAAGAAAACTAGTATCTTTCAAAGCAGATGTTATTTTTTCTTTCATGTGAGGAAGAGAAGCAGTATGGACTATGCAGGAGTGTTTGGTTGTTAACTTTTTTTTTTTTAGTATATTTATTTTAAGACAATAGCTTTTTGAGTAACCAGAGTAGATACCTTGCAAAGAAAAATGCTGCCTGTGAAATGCAAGCTACACAGAAGACTAAAACAGAAGCTAACTGTGTTTATTAAATTCCAGGTTCAGTAGAAAAGCATCCATTGGAAGAAATGTCTTAACTAAAATCTCTTCTACTAACATTTACTGAAATCTCATAAAAAAGTCTTCTTAATGGAAATTTGTAGAAGTAAAAGCAAACTGAGGTTATGGAAAAGTACTACATTTAAAACATCTGAAAATGCCAAGCTTAAGTTTTGTGCTTTATAAGCACAACTTTGGTGATAAAACTTGAAATGATTTTAAAACTGAAACTAGGCAGTGTTTTAGAGCCTTTATGATGGCTTCTTAATCAATTGACAGTGTTTATTAAGCACATGCCTGCTGTCCAGCACTGTGCAAAATTCAGGAGAAAAGAGATTATTACATAGTTTACATAATTATCAGGCAAGTAACTGCATTGCATTTGCAAACTGGGTGTATATAAAAATAGCTTGATTTCAAATGTCCAGATATTAGGACAGTAAAAACTTGATGACTCTGAAAATAAAGTGTATTGTCTGTGAAACTCTGAGACATATTGGCAGTGCCCTTTCTCTCACTATATTTACATTATAGGAAAAAAAAAATTACATACTTTACTAGTCAGTGATGTGTCATTTTGAAGAGTAGGTGTTTTGTGCTATTAATGGATGCATTTTTTGCATGAGCTGTCAAACTTCTTCAGGAATCAGTGTCAAACTTGTTACTATTATATTTTCCAGATTTTTATAATGTTGCAAAATATCTGCAACAAAACTCTTTTAAAGTTGAGAGTTTTTACTTTATATTAGTTACTCTTTAATTTTAAAAATAATAGATATCAATGACCAAAAACTTAAGAGTTCAGAAGGATGTAAAGTTAAATGCTTAACTTGTCTTTTTCCTCAAAGCACCAGGAGGACTATTAGTTTTTAAATGATTTAAGGTAGCTGGCTAGTTTGATAGATATTTCACACAAATTTGTATAGGATTGATAAACATAAGACAGAAACAGATGCAAAGCATCATTGCTAAGAAATAATTAGCTATTCATCCTAATAGCATTGAAATCTGTACATATTGTTGATATTTTTAGAATATTTTAAAATAATAGTATATAAGTATTCCTGTTCCTGCTTATGAGTAAGGATTAAGGCATGTTAAGAAACTTTAAATCTTTCTTCTATATGTACAAATTATTGGTCATGGCTGGCAGTTTTCATTAACTACTCTCCTTACTCTACTAAGAGCAAAGTGGGACTTGTTTTGCATCAAGTAGTTTAAGTGATTTACCTTTTCCTTTTCCATATATCCTTGCATTATAATGTGCCACTGCTTGCAAGAGGTAAGTCCTTTAGTACCTTACAAGATGTTTAATATTGTTGGACTGAAATTTCTTCTAACAGCTCCTGTGTGGTATTTTGAAGAACCTGGGAAGACTGAAGATATAATGATGTGGTAGTAATATTTTAAAATACTTTTCTCTTTGCAGAAAACACAAGTGACAAAGTTAGTATCCGCATTACTGGAGAGGAAATATGGTGATTTATATATGAGTAAACAGCATGAATGCCTGATTTTTGCAAAATTAAGCTAAATTTTGCAAAAGAGCTATAATTTAGAATAACCACATTTAGTGTTTTCAGTAAGTTTGGTTTGCATTGCTATGTTGTGGTGAATTGCTTTATAGTAATAAATAGTAGTGTTTAACATAAGTCATAAAACATATATGGGGTTTGCTATATATTAATGTAAAAGAAGCAGTGCTTGGGAGAATGTAATTTATAGCAGTCAAGACTGGTAGAACACAAAGATAGAAGAGAAAGCATAAACATTTATACCACTAGTGTATAACATGTGTAAAACTGAGTTGATGTCCAAATTAATGTCAAAAGCCAATGGTGAAGTCTATTAAGAACCTTTATGATTTTTCCAGAGCGTTTTAATTCAATGTTGCTAGCAGGTTCGGACCTCTGTATGTACATTTGTGTGTCAGTGGTAATAGAAAGTCCACACATCTTTGAAATGTGTTAAGAGAGATAATCACCAACTTATTAAATGTCAGTTGGTGTAGATGGGGAGTCAATATGGTATAACTTTCATACCTCACTTTTGTGTTCCATTGATATTGACACAACCCTGGCTATTGATTACTAGCTTTAAAAATACATAAAAATCACATTAGATAAGAACTTAAAATAATTTTTATTAATTAACTTATGTTTATTCTGAATGTGTACTAAAATTTCTTTAGCATCACCCTATAATGTAGAATTGGAAATGTGAACTATCTATCTTGGGACACATCCAAGATAATTAACTTCCGAATTACCAGAGCAACTTCATTCTAATGTGGCTGTGATATCACCAATTGAACAGTTTTATGGTGTGTGTGTGTGTGTGTGTGTGTGTATGAATATTGCACACCAATGTAAACATCCCCAAACCCTGTTTAATTTTGTCCATTTAAATTCTTCTTCACAGAGACTTAGGCTAGTTACTAGATCCCAGTGTAAAAAATGTTTGACTTGTAAAGGGGGAAAATGGGATTTGGAAAAATAAGCATTTAAGTTAAATATAATTCTTTTTTAATTCAAGGTTAAGATTCATTAACGTGTTAGGTATTACTATGCATTGTTTTAGGTGTTTTAAAATGCATTATGTGATTTGATTCTTTAAACTCTGATGCCAAGAGATTACATACCTTTTTCAAGTCACACATCTTAAAAGTAATAGAGCTAATATTTGATCCCGGCTCTTCTGTAACCAAATTTTGATGTGCCTTTCCCTGTGTCACCTGCTTGTGACTTTGACTTATTTCTGTGACTTGGAATTAGTATTTATTCTTAATGATTATAGAATTGAATTGAGGTTATATGAATCAATTGATGTGCATATACTACAATTGGGTTAGATACTCCTCCCCACTTTTTTTTTTTTTTTTTTTGAGCAGTTGGGGAATCTGTTCCAACAATAAACCTGTATTTGTTTAGTTTTCAAAATGCCTTCAAATGTGTTAAACATAAATCCTTAGAGGAAGTCTGAAAGATAAATTGTCATTGATTTCACTTTTAAGGAAAATGAGGCTTCTGTAGGTTGCAGCTTTCCCAGGGCATGGGGGAAAGTGGGCAGCACAGCCAGAATGAGAAGTCAGATCACCTGGCTATCATGTTAGCACATTTGCCACTGCTGTGTATGATGAAATATTCCATTTAGGCACATTTTCTAAAATACGTAAAAATCTTTGTTTGACATATTCCGATTGTCACCTTTAGGTTTAAATCAGTCAACCCTCCAGTTGCTGCCCCTCACCACACCATTGAACATTTAACCACCCCCTTAACTTCATATTAATATGAAACATTTTTCCTAGACTTTAAAATGTTTAAATATACATCTAAAATTTGACTCTCATCTGTTCAAGATGAGGTTATTTTGCAAAATGATTTCCCTGCTACTTAAAATAACAAGGCAGAAGAGAGAATGCTGTGTCTTGTGGCTATGGAAGAGTAAAAGCAAGCAAACTATTGAGACCAACTTAATCCTGCATCTCACCCTCACTCATTGTAACTCAGCCCTCTGTTGAGTTTATGAAACTGATTTTGACATGTGGAAATATAGCAACACTGACCAGTTTAGCATTAAAACTGGTAAGCAGTTTTTCTTACTATATTTGTAATGAATTGTAACTTACTCTGACTAAACGTCATTGTAGAATTGAAGAATACTATAGTGTGTTCTTTGGCAAACTATACAGTTTATACTTTAGTCTTTTATCCCCAATGTAATTTGACTGTGTTGTTAACGATTCTGCACTTAATAGGCTATGTGAATGAATTTTTTTGAAGTTCTCCCTCTCTTCAGGTGTTATTAACTTAGTTCCTTTACCATGTCTTATCAGACATGCCTTCTGGGCAATAATTATGTCACTGATAATACAGAACTATGGAATTCCCACAAATCACTTACTGGAACTTGGTTGTGAATGAGGATGGTAGTAATGAGGGATGGGGGGGGCAGTAAGAAAATTGAGTGATAGCTCATTATTCATTATCCACTGTGCTTCCTACATTTTTTATCATAATCACTACTAAGAAACAATACAATTTTCAAAGTACATATTTTTTAAAATAACATGATTCAGGATAATTCATGTGAGAAAATATACTTGCTATTAATACATACTTCTATTATGTGAGACTGAAAGATTTTTCTCTTCTGATTTTAAAAGTGATTCTAAAATGATTGGTTTCTACATTTTATATCTGATTGATTTCCATCCCTTGTTAAGAACATAATAAGAATTTGGATTCCTGTTTAAATGATTTTTATAAAAACCCTGTACATTTAAAAACAGTGGTCACTTGATACTTGAGTTGCCATAAATACATAAAATAATTTTCATTGTTTTGCGGGGTGGGGAACAAAACTGTTGTCTTGATTGTAACAATGTAGTAGAATTTTGACTAACATTTGTTCACTTTTTTGTCTATGTGTATATGATTATTTTGAAGCATGATGTTTGTGTAACATCTTCACTGAAAATCATTGTTTTGAATTTTATTTCATTTTCTTTTCTTTTTCTTCTTTTTTTCCCCTTCTTTGTCTGTTGTTCATCTTCCGGGGAACATCAATGTCTTCTCTACTCTGTCACATCTTTTCTTGTGTGTGTATCATTCTCCCTCAGTAACCCTGGCACTGTGTAAGTACTTAACCAATGGTTCACTTTGTAATTGTCTCTATAACTTTCCTTCTTTCAATTTAATACTACCAGCATATTTTGTTAGGATCTTCTCATTACAAGAATTCTCAAAAATGTTAAAAAGCATAAGAAGCATTTGTTTTTAATGCTAGAGAATTTTGTATGCATCAGTGGTATGTTTAGAACACCCACATTTCTGTAATGAAAAACTTAGTAAGTTAACTGGTTATTCATTGGGATACATGAGTATTATGGAGAGTGTATAATGGAGTTAGAACAGTAGTTTGGGCTTTCCTTTCCTTTATTTTTATTAATATTTTAATGTCTATATTTTGAAATAAATTACTTGCTCTTGAGAGTAAAGTTTACATTCTAACCCAAATGCATTTTTTAAAATAAAATTATTGGAATTTTTCTTTTCCTTCGTTATAGTCATCACACTCTAGAGTTTCAGAACCAGAAAGCACTAGTAAATGTTTAGACATTTCTTATCATTTGGCCTAAGACCTTCAGGGGTGATAAACAACACAAAGCATCTAAGGGGTACTGTACTTTTTACAAATGTGTGATAGCTAAAAATGCTGCTTAGGTGGTGGTGGTGTATTATTCTTGGTATCTTAGCTTGACACTGTTGTTTTGTTTTTAGAGACCAAACTTTTTATAGAGGATAAAATAGTCTTACATTTGAAATTGGCATCATTTAAGAGTAAACTACACTCAATACTTGTAGAGAAATTTAAAACTATAGTAAGTTTAGTAGATGAATGTAAAATTTTTCAAGTACATGCATAAGATAAAGAGTTGTGTATTTTATGTCTGCCAGAGGCAGAGTGTTTATTAAGAAATCGTTGCTTATTTCCTAATTTTAAAACATTTTGTTCATTTTTAAAATAATTAGGTTTTGTTCAATATTAAAAATTTGAAGGTCTTTTAGATATTTTACTTATGGAATCATATGATATTACCATATTACCATAAGTTACAGTGTTTTTACTATTTTGTGCATAAATATTGATTGTATTATTTTATATATGCAGATTATTCATAGTATTAGAACATGTATTGCATTGATTTTCTAGTAATCATAAAATAATACATTATGATGATCATTACTACATGTTATATATGGAGGAAAGCACTTTACATACTTATTCTATCTTATTTGTTCTTAAATAACCCTTTACGATGCAAGTCTTATTTCTTAAATGAGGAAATAAATTGAGCTTAGAGAAATGACTTGCATAAAGCACATACTAAATCTGACTTTAAGCCAGTGTTACTAACTTTAATTCTATCATGTTCTTCACTGGGGAGAAACTTTTCCAGTGTGCTGAGACAGTTTTGGTTGCATAACTATTAAATGGTAACAGTCATTTGGCCTACGGATAGCACTGTGATCTTCTAACAGGCAGTTGAACTAGCAGGTGTTGCCACTCACATCCGGCCACATTTATAACACTTTCTGTACTCCGATCTTATGCCAGTAGTCTGCTAGTCCAGACTCAAGTTTCTTTTTCTCTTTTGAAATTAAACTCTCCAAAAATTTGCATTTACCCTATTTTGAGGGGGAAGAAGTGGAGACTAGTCATTATATTCAATATATTATACAGAAATATATATTGCAAATTCCTTTGTATTTATGCTCTGTTAAAAGAAAATATGTTCGTAACAAACTCAAAGTTCCTAAACTCTGTAGTTTACACATCTTTTTCATATATTTAATCCTCAGAACAGCACTGTCTTGTATGTGATATTCAAGAGACTGACTTTCTAAAGAGTCTTAGAGCCAGGCTTTAAATTCTGATCTTTTAATACGCATTTCAGTAGTTGCTAATATGCCATACCTCCTTTTCATTATGTCGATCTCACACACAGCTTTCTTTAGAATAAGGAGTACCTGTACATATGAATGAGAAAACTATAGAAAATAATAGCTTGGACCCGTTCCAAAATTGTATTCGGAATTGTTCATTTAGCCTCTACTAAACCATACATGTTTCCTGGGCCTAGTGAAGATTCAATCATTTAATTTCATGAAAGCCAGTGTATTCTAGCAGCATACTGATATTAACAGTGGTTGTGAATATAGCCCACATCTGTGTTTTTAATGGCATACAATGAATGATACAAATAATTTCAAGTTTGATTTTGACTCTGTGGAGTTTCATTTTCTAGTTGTCTTCTTTTTTTTTCTTATCATTTTTTCTTTCCTTTTCCTTCATGTTGGAAATCTTTTCTTCTGCTGCCTTCCTCTGCCAATTTAAAGGAAAATTCCACCTAAACGGTAATCTTTCTGTTGAATACATTGTTATAGCATTATTTTATATTAACATTATAAGTGCAGTTTTTAACTTATAATTTTAAAAATCTAGTCTATTTTAGACAGATCTTTTAAACATTTGAGGCCAAATATACTTGCAAAGCAAACTGTTTATATAAAAGGAATATTGAAGATTAAACATAAATTATAAATAATTTAGAAGATATTTTATCCTTTTAATATAATTTTACGATTTTAAATTCTTTTTGTTTTCTTCTTAATCCCAGCCCACCAAGAAAACACATTGTGGAGCGCAATACAGAGTTTTATCATATACCCACTCACAGTGATGCCAGCAAGAAGAGACTGATTGAGGATACTGAAGACTGGCGTCCAAGGACTGGAACAACTCAGTCTCGCTCTTTCCGAATCCTTGCCCAGATCACTGGGACTGAACATTGTGAGTGAACTTCTCGGTATCCTAATGAAAGAATTTTTTTTTTTTTTTTTTTTGCCACAGAAAGTAGTATTTAGACTGAATGGTAGTTGTCAGAAAACAGCCCTAAGACTGTTTGCTTTTAAAATGTGCTGTACATAATATGGGTAATATAAATAAAACCCTAACCCAGTCGCAGTGCCTCACTCCCGTAATCCCAGCACTTTGGGAGGCCGAGGTGGGTGGATCACCTGAGGTAATGAGTTCGAGACAACATGGTGAAACCCTGTCTCTACTAAAAATTCAAAACTTAGCCAGGCATGGTGGTAGGCACCTGTAATCCCAGCTACTTAGGAGGCTGAAGCAGAAGAATTGCTTGAACCTGGGAGGCAGAGGTTGCAGTGAGCTGAGATCATGCAACTGCACTTCAGCCTGGGCAACAAACAGAGGGACTCTGTCTCAAAAATAAATAAATATATAAATAAGGCACCAGCCCAGGAGAGTAACATTGAAAAGTATAGAAATAATAGTAGTTGTACTAACTATGGTTTATAGCCAATAACAGGCTACTGTGGAATTCGTTTTAGTGGCTCCATGAAACTTGAACATTTGATATTGATTGGTGCAGGTAATTGTGTAAGTGATTTTGAAGTTAAACAAAACAAACTAATGTTAGATATTGCTTATTATATTTCAGTGAAAGAATCTGAAACCGATAATACAAAGAAGGCAAAGTAAGTTCTCCATCTTTTTGTCAATTGAATGTTTTCCTTTCATGAATGATCTCAGTTTGGTTTTTCACATTGTCAAGTGTAATGGTATGCAATTTTGTCTTTGCAACTAGAAGCTAAGCATTTAACTTTGGTGCCTTTTGTGTGACCTAAACGTACAACTTGTGGATTTTTAAAGTAGTAAATATTATCTGGATTTCAAGGCTTGTTTTCCTTAGTATTGAAATAAGAAGTGGGCAGAAGGGTGTATTTTGTGGTGCTTTGCTAACAATACATGTCTGCGAATGAGCTCATGTGTTGTCTTGCAGTCACTGTATTTTGAGTATAAAAATGTATGTTTCCAAGAGGGATCTATGGATTAATTTCTGTATTTCTAAAAATGTTCTACCCTTAAAATCTTTGCCACTTAATAAAACAGCTCTGTGAAATTAAGCTTATATAAGGCATGTTTTCTGCATGATGGACTTAGCCTAGAATCTTTTTCCTTCTCTTATGACTCTTCTATCACTCTTTTTTTTATTTCCACAGGGAAAAGATACCCCTTCACGTCTTTAGTCCCAAATACACAAAATTACGTGACTGGCACCATGAAGTTTCAGCACGTGCTCTTAACGTACAGTGATTTATGAGCCTTGCCCCCCAAGCAGCCAGCACATACCTTTTCATTTACATTTTTTTCAACTTCATAGCAAAATCTGTATTAAATTTGCCTTATGAAAAACTAGAACTTTTTCTATACTTTTCTAACAATTTCCTATTGTTGTGAGAAAAGGAAGATGAGCATATTTTCTGCTAGTTGGTAGCTCACAGGTGTAAAACCAAAAAAAAAAAAAAGAAAAGAAAAGAAAAGAAAATTAAGGAACTATTCAGTGGATTTATGTCTGTTTTTCTTGTTATTAGGGTAGTAACCTTGGAAAATGAATTATTTTCATAAGTTGAATTTGGTTAGTTGATTGGATGAAGCAGAGGATAATGGGCAAATAATGTTCTTATCTAATTTGGAAAATACTTCCTTTATATTATTATTAACATTTCCCAAGTTTACTTTATAAGTTCATTATTATGTAATGTTCAAAATTGATTATAAATTATTCTAAATAAGCAAATATAAGGAGGCAAGAATAAACAGAGAAGACTTTATTAAAGAAGAGTGCATTGTAGATTTAGGTATCTTTTAAAGTAGGTACTATTAAGGATGGCTGTATGAAGAGGAGGAAGTCCAGATTTGGCTTCTGAAAAAGGAAAGAAGAGAATTTTATCCCTATTTGCAATGGAGAAACACAGTGTTCTTTGGTTTGGTTGGATTTGCAAATCCTATTTCCTATCAAAGGAAATACCTCTAAGCTAGTGGATGTTTTTAGAGTATAGACAATTTCTAGGTATTAACTAATAAGATATAGAAAAGATAGCTTTGCTTTTTTTATCAGAAGAACATAAAGTAAATTACAGTATGAATCATTATGAGACATCAGAGAAATACTTTACTTAGTGATATAAATTACTGTGCATTGCTGCTATTCCTAGGAAGCTGTGTTTTGGGCAATACATGGAAGCTAAATATATGACCAGAAATGCTTTCTGCCTTGTAATATAGTGTATTATATGTTAGAGCTAAATTTAGTAATAAATGCATTTTGAAGTTTTAAAAAGTATTGTAATAAAGTTGCCTTTAACTTGGCTTTGTACTTGTTCTGTTTTCCTTGAGGCTAAACACAGTGCCACCCAGAACTTGTTACAATATAACTGGGTAAAATAAATAATTCTCTGACATTTCATTTGGAAACATTTTTAACTTTGTGAGGTTACTAAAATATGAGTATAAAACATGGCAAATGATCATGTTTCATTATTTCCCCCTGAATTATTACAATAGTTAGTATCCTATATGAGTAACATATAATATCAGTTGACTATTGCACAACATAGAATTATTATTTATGTGAAAATACTGCTGAAGGACATTGCCTGCATTGAAGGGTCTATTTTTATTTTTCGAGATGTTCTTTCACTTTAGTGACGTAATAGTCTAGTACAACTTCCTGATAATTTGGAGAAACTAACATTAATCTTAGATAGTTATTGATAAAATTTGGCCTATCAAATGCATTTTAAAATAATTCTAGGATTTATCTATGCTCATTTCTAGTATACTTCATGATATATAAGACATCTTTCTTTTATTGTATCAGTTCTTCAGATATTAAGCCAGAGGCCCCGCCTGCTTGGTTTTTATGATGCTGACATCAATCCCAGTTATAACTATGTCTCTGGCCTCTGTAAGAAAATCTACTTTCTTAGACCAGGCTTTCCTATACACAGTAATTCTTTCTGGATCCCAAAAGATGATGTCTGAAAGATGATAGAATTTAAAGCCTCATAAAATTAAATGGCATGGTAGAGTAAATATGGTATTTTCCCCCAAGAATCCAATTTCTAGAATAACTGCAGAGTTGGTAGAAAGAGTGACTCAAAAGAATTTTAGGTAAATGGAAAAACTTTTCCCTAATACAGACAAGGCAACATATATAGAGTTACAACATAAAACAGGTTTAGTTAAAATAAAAATTGAATACCTTGCTTAATTAAAAATGAAGTATTTAGTGTTTCATTGAAAGCATAGACTTAGATAAATAGAATGATCCGCACTTGAATATAAGGTTAAATATTCAGCCAGGATCATACAGGACATTCCATTTGACCCTGTCAGAAGATGAATTCCTGAGCTCAGTGAAGCTCCTGGGACATCTTATATTCTTAGCTTAAAAGCTAGCCAAAAATTATAAAAGCTTCTTGCAAAAATATTATTGTAAATCTGGTGACCTACTTTATGATTTGTTTTTGTTTGTCTCTCCTATACAGACTTTCTTCATTATAGGTTTGTTGTTTATATATATTTTTTACACTTTATGTTCTGGGGTACATGTGTAGAACATGCAGGATTGTTGCATAGGTACCTACCGGGCAATGTGGTTTGCTACCTCCATCCTCCCGTCACTTATATCTGGCATTTCTCCCCATGTTATCTCTCCCCAAGCTCCCTACCCCGCTGCTGTTCTTCTCCTGTTCCCCCACAACAGACCCCAGTTTGTGATGCTCCCCTTCCTGTGTCCATGTGTTCTCATTGTTCAACATCCACTATAGGCTTGTTTTTAAGGTGAAATTGGGAAGTTGCTCTCAAGAATGTTTTCAACATTTCTTTCTCTCTCTCTCTCTCTCTCTCTCTCTCTCTCTCTCTCTCTCTCTCTCGATGGAGTATTGCTCTGTCACCCAGGTTGGGGTGCAATGGCATGATATCGACTAACTGCAACCTTCACCTCCCAGGTTCAAGCACTTCTCCTGCCTCAGCCTCCTGAGTAGCTGGGATTACAGGCATGCACCACCATGCCCAGCTAATTTTCATATATTTTTCTTAGTAGAGACAGGGTTTCACAATGTTGGCCAGGCTGGTCTCAAACTTCTTACCTCCAGTTATCCACCTGTCTTTGCCTTCCAAAGTGCTGGGATTACAGGTGTGAGCCACTGCACCCGGCTTCAACATTTTTTTCTTACAGTGTTTTATCATTCAGAAGACTGAGTGTCTCACCATGGTCCAATGTATTTTTGTCACTTCAAAAATTACTTTTTTTGTGGAAACAGAAGCATCCACTGATGCACTTTTATGCTCTTTAGGAAGGCTCAGATATATAGACATCTTAGAGCTTGTTTAATAAAATTGTGGTAGTAGGTCACAGAATAGGAGTTCCTTCTTTCATTCAAAATTTTTCAAAAATATAGAATGAATTGCTTTTCCCTCCAGATATATAATTTTGTAATTATTGTGTTTCTGACATGTATTTAAAATCATATAAATCGTAAATATTTACTCATTGCCAGCATTCATTCTTTCAAATGAATAATTACTGAATATTTAAATGCCAGGCACTAATCAATGTGCTAGGGATACAGTAGTGAATAACAGATAAATGTATAAGCAAGGTGATCTGAGCTGATTGTGTTACCAAGATAATAAATTAATATAAAGTAAATTTGGCTTAGTCAAGGAAGGATTACTTTAGATTACGTGGACCTCTGAGGAGAACGATAGTGCCAGCATCTAGGAGAGGAAAAGGAGTCAGCCATGTGATAATTTGAGGGTGGGGAGACATGTGGAAAGGAGCATGGCAAGAACACAGAACAGAAAGGTCAGTGTGGCTGAAGTCCAGGCTAGGCAGGCAAGTGTGGTAGAGAAACAGAATTCCTGTGTACATGGACAAAACACTTATATGCTCATTACTATCCATAGCATTTTAAATAGAAAACTATTATATCTAATTGCTTCCAAATAGAATTAGAAAGTGAAGAAGCAGGGAGGTTAGTCAGGCTGCTAAATGAAGTGTGCTCGCCTAGTTGGTGCCAGTCCTGATTATTAACAATTTAATATTTTTCCTGTTGAGACCCAGTGAAGACCTAGAAACGAGAAACATAAATATATGTTGGTAACATGTATGTAGGGAACACAAACAGAATATCCTGTAGAGCATACATTAAAGCCATACAGAAAGTATGAAAACGCTTTGATGTTTAAAACTTGACATATGCCCCTTCCACACTCTCTTGTGGAAGCCTGTCTTCCCTCCTAAACTCCATCTGTATTCCCTTCCACTCAGTGTGGAAGCTGCTTTCCTCTTCTGGATTCTGTCTTTCTAGATTCTCTCACTCAGTGTGAGAGTTAGCTGTTTTATTCTCTCTCCTTCTCTGATTTCTCTCTATCTCTCTAAATAAATCACTTTCTACAAAAAAACAAAACAAAACAAAAAAGAACTTGACATGATGCTCTTCATAATAGTGATGAATTCAATGATTTAGTCTTCTCTGTAAAATCTTGGCTAGAATTATCTGGACTTTCCTTTTGTTTACTCCATTCCAGAAAATTCCTTAAACCAAATGAATATTTCCTTGCACATTCTTTCCAAAATAGGGATCATAGCATTTTTTCCCCTTGGTTAGAAGTAGTAAAAGCAGCA